TTTGGTGCAGATCAGTAGGAACACAAGGATAAGAGGAAACTCTTGTCTTGCAGGTAACACCTCTGTACTGAAGCAATTTGTTCAATGTCACGCCACCTCTGCTGTCCTAATCTCAGTCAGCTGATCCCTTGGGTCTCCCTAAACCTGTGTGCAATCCTTCACTGAGGCTGTACTGGGGCTGCAATTGGAGTTACACACTCCAGCTCACTCTGGATGCTTAAAATCCTGGGATTTTTTTTTTTTGTGGGTAAAAATGTAGGCTCCTTCCTCCCTCACATGCCCTGGTGAGCTGCAGTATCCCCTGCACGATGAGAGCAAATGGTGTTACACTTCAAAACATCTCTGTTCTGTAAATGGTGTTCCTCTTTCTGACAAGTTAGATGGGAAGAGCCAGATCCTTATAAAATTTTAAGGGTGCCCGTTAGGGAAAGGGAGTAGTTGAGTCCTGACACTGGGAAAGCCTTCTCTTTTCTTCCTTAATTCCAAGCTGTCATGCACCAGGATTTTCCTTAATATAGGAACCCTGGGGGCTCTAAGGTGAGTTTGTTGAAGATGTTCATAAACTGGGAAACTGGGAGCCATTCCCACTGCCTCTTTCACTATGAATTGCTTCAAGTAGGGTGGCAAAAAATCATCTTGAGTGTTTGAGTAGCAAACAATGCAGCCAGGTGCAGAGTGAGTTGGATTTTTTAAACAATATTCTGCATTTTAGTAACTGCTACAAACTATTGTCCACAACACAATTACCATCCTGCAAGCATGTTCCTGAAATAGGTGGAATGGAAAAACTCAGTCCATTTACTATCAGCTTAAGCATCACTTGAAAACAGTCTTTAATGAAATCTCTCCCTGCCTGTCCCATGTGAGCATGTGTCTTAGCCTGTTTTGGAACTTCTGCATGATGCTACTGAGAGCAACAATCACTTCTGGCTCTCTCTGCTGCTTGTACTTGAACTCCATCAGCTGTTCCAGAAATATATGCTGGTTTTAATAGCTCCTGGTCACTCACAAATGTTCTCTGGATTCTTATTTTGTAAATGTGCCAAGAAAGAGAATGTTCGCCTTCAAGTGAAGAGCCTCAGAGACATTGTAGTTGGGAGTCTGAGTGTGACCTTTACTTTACACAAAGTAAAGCAAGTCTCTTGGGTCTAGTGAGTTTATCCAAACCCAGTATTAGTTGGAGTGACTTTATTAATGATAACATTGAACATCTTGTTGGAAGTCTTTGCTGGCAGTTAGTTAGACCAACGAGAGGGACGGGAAGTGGCCGCACATGTAAACCCATTTTCTGTAAAATGGAGACGTAAATGACCTCAGCTGCATGGAGGAGATTATCTGTGGTGGCTCATGTATGCAATTTGTCTCCTCTGAGTCAAGGAACTGGTTCTTAACTTGAGTTCAACTCCAAATTCTTCACCATAAACAAACACTGGGCAAGCACCCACCAAGCTTCCTGAAGGGACAAACCTCACTAATCCACACATTCTACAGCTCATTCAGAGGAGCAAACCTGGAGCTGGAGGGAACAAGAGGAAACACTGACTGATTATTTTGGAGTGACTCTGGATAAAAATGCTGAAGTGAGTCAGGTGCCTACCACCCACTGATTTTCTCTGCACATAGAAGATGGCCACATTGCATGTGAAATTTGAGGTTTGGGAAGTGTTTTTGCAAACTTTGTACGCATGAAGTAACGAAGAAGGTGAACTAAGACTAAACAAGTTACCAAAATAAAGAATCAAGTTAACATTTTACCATAAACGTCTTTATTTTTGTTATTGGAGTTGTGCACTTTTTCATAAAAGGTATCAATCTAGCAAAACACTTGAACATGAGTCAAAGCCATCGAAGCTAGCAGGGTGGTGAGAAGCAAGCACAAATGTGAATGACAGAGACTAGGTGCTACTGCATACAGTCAATTCATTTGTGACACATTTCCCAAGAATTCTGAAATAGTCTAAAACAGGCAAGACCACACTGTGTTTTCATGATAACTTGGCACGTTTTGGAGCATAAGCACTTTTGACACTCTTTGCCTGGGTCATGGTGAATGCTACAGGTTTCAGGGGAGCTGGATTCTCATTGTGTGAGATCTGCTCCTCTTAGGAAATACAGCTGTGAAAACTAGACCTGTGCTTTTTGCTTTTTTTTTTTGCAATGAATAGACTAGCAAATTTCCAGATCTGAGCCTTACATTGACAGCTTCTAGAAGGAAGGTAGCAATTGAATCAATATTTTGATAATCATAGAGAAAATTCATTTAAGAAAATTGTAAGGCATTATCTCGCAGTAGATCTGGTCAGTGATGACCAGATCTAATCTTAGTTTATGTCTTAATGCAGTCGGTAGGATTTATTGTCATGGATTAACATTTGTATAAAAAGCATACACAAATCAAGTACAAGTATTGCTAAATTAATTCCTCATACAAAGTATACGAATAATGCACTGTAAACAACTGCTTCTCGTAGGTGCATCCGTTTCCAGGCTTTAATAGTTGCTTGTCATCTTTGGTTAATGCAAGACTTGTTCTGTCCTCAGGAGAACCACTACAACAGCTGAGCTTTCACAGAGTCCTTGCTCCATTACCTGATTCTACATATTTGGAAGAACAAATGCTTTGTTCAACCAGATCAATGTGTAAACCCAAACAACCAAGTGAACTGTATTTTTTACCTTGCTAATATACAAACATCTGCATATGTGTGCATATATATACATATATGTGTGTGTACATATATAGATCCACATATGTGGACACCCCTCCTCACTCTGCCCCAGGGAGCACCTCAGCCAGTGTAGGTGCTAAATGCCAGAAGGCCATCCAACATGAAGGCATGCCAACATCTGGGGGCTGCTCCAACGCACACAGACACATAAAACTATGGATTTCTAAAGTGAGCACAACAACTGCTTGGATCGTGACTGAATATGAAAGAAGGAAAGTCCCATGACTGTCCAATAAGAGAGGTGGTTGCACGGGCACAGTCCCTTCACTTTGAACGTGTCCAGTTCCTTCGCATGCTGCTGGAACTGTGGTCTCAACACTCCTGCCTCAAGCATCAGTATCTGTTTCACTACGTGGCAGTGTAAACTGAAAATCCACTGGATAGTCTCACCAGAGAAACCAGTTTCTAATGCAAAGAAGGTCACTTAAATCCACTGTCTGTCTGCAGGTTTTAAAACTAGCCCCACATATCCAGAAACTGAATTCTATTACAAATTGCTCTAAAAATTAGTAAAATAAGGGGGATTTAGAGAGAAGTAGAAGGTGTGTTTATAGCTGTGTAACAAAAGTAAGGGACTAATTGGTCTTTCTGCATCACAGAGAGTCTTCTCTGGTACCATTCTCAGTAGTGCCACATTAAAGCTGTTAATAAATCATGTAAGTTGATGACCCAATGCATCATCTAAATTAATGTTTGCAAGGGAAGGACTTCCCCTGACTATATTCTGTAGTGCTTTATTTACAAATGTCTCTAGGAACTCCCCAGGGAGACTATTTCACAGCTTCATGGCTAGAAAGCTTTCCTTGATTACGCTGGCTCTGTTTCCCTCACTTACATTATTTTAATTTCTAGCTATTGCCTGTAACTTCTTCTGTCATCACAACTGGTAGGATAGTTTTTCCTGTATTTTTGCTATCTATAAAGAAGAGGGATGAACAAATGTGAGGAACAGTGCACTGGTCAGCAATGTGCTATCGAAAGGATCTGGTTCTCAACAGTAACATTTCATCTCATTTCACAGGCACAACCGTGGCAGAGGAATAGCTGCTTCCTCACAGTGGACTTAACTAATTTGTGGCTTGGCAGAAAATGTCATACTTCAGTCCTTAGAACAAAGAATGGAGATTTAGGCATGCATCAAAACGGGTTGAATTCTTTAAAGCTGCTGAGCAAGCGTTGTTCTCATAGACTTCATTAGCAGAGCTGGGCCACCTATAACTACTATATTGATTCTGCAATCCATTTAACCTTTTACTAGTGGCACTTTTGACCAACGTCTTTTACCTTCTCTACATTCAATCAAGAAATGAAACACTTGGCCATGTGTTCCATATGTACTCCCTTGCTGAGCAGCCACAGTTATCTTGTGGTATTTTTAATACCCTGTGGAGTTCTGGCAGCACCTTTAACCTTTTACGGGACTTGGAGAAACTGCACACCCCATCTGCACATCTTCCTGGTACTCACCCTGGACTCAGCCTGCTCTCTGATTGACCACCAACCCCACCTGACCTGGGGGAGACAACTGTCACCCTCTCCTGTGGCCTTGGGCTGTTCTGGCTGTCATGAACCAGGGTTACACGGACAGATTAGAGCTGTGCAGAGAGCCAGGTCTTCCACAGCATACCAGGATCCACTCCCAGGGTACGTCCACAGGGGGATTTTCATCCATCCAGAGTAGCCTGGTATTTCTTTCTAAAGCAGGCACCTGACCTGGGGGAGACAACTGTCGCCCTCTCCTGTGGCCTTGGGCTGTTCTGGCTGTCATGAACCAGGGTTACACGGACAGATTAGAGCTGTGCAGAGAGCCAGGTCTTCCGCAGCATACCAGGATCCACTGCCAGGGGGATTTTTATCCATCCAGAGTAGCCTGGTATTTCTTTCTAAAGCAGGCCAGCTGGGCTGCCTTAAACCTATCCCTGAAAGTTCTCCAGCAGCTGAATGAGGTGGTAGTAACTCAAATACACTTCAGTCAGTGAATCTAGAATCAGTGTTGTCTAGAGTGCTAGCAGGCAGTAAATACTCTACATCTGGCAGGTACCTCCACCTGCCAAGTCCTGAGGACACATGATGAAGGTACATCACCACTGAATCAATAAAACTATACTTTGGACCAGCCAGTCTCTCTTTAACTTTCTCTAGAACATCTCAATAGAAAACAAGCCATAATCTATAACAAACAGAAAAAAAAATAGGACGGACTCTGTCACAAAAAAATTACACGTTCACAAAATAATGACATCATTCTATTGTTACTCGCTGAATCTGTGTTTATAATTTGGTCAGATCGTCCTGTAGCCAGTCTGCAATCATGGCAGCCATCTCCTTGCTGGCATCCAGCACGAAGGCGTGGCGCAGCCCCTTCTCACACAGCCGGATGTCCCCGTCGGGGAAATCCAGCTTGATCTCATCGTAGTAGTGCTGTGGACACCAGCTGTCTCCAGTTCCATAGTAAAAAATCAGCTAGAAACCAAAGCATATCAAATCGTCAGTTTGAACAGTTCCCAATGAAACAAAGAGGGCTCGATTATTCAGAAATAACCAGTGCTTCATGACCCACGATATACTTGAGGAAGAGCAAATTGTTAGTTCTTGGTTGTTTCCAAGTCTGCAGTTGTGATGAAGCCAATTAAATACTCCGTGACTCAGTTTCCTCACCTGTAAAACTGTGGGACACAATACAGGCTCTGAAAACAAAGATCTGCTGATGAATTCTCTCTGTCTTAAGAAATTTGTTATTACGGATCAAAACATCTAGTTGTCCATGGAGTCCACCCCTAACCAGGCAAGCTGTTCTTCTTCCTATTAGCTTTTTTCTGTGCTAGCTTTCTAGCAATTCAAATCAAATGGCAGAATTACTGGTAAACTTCTGCTATGAAGGGTCTAAACTTATGGCTTTCTTCTGGATATAAACAAAGAGAAAGTAGAAGGTTACCCCACATTTGTGAGTAGGCTCAGTCTTACAGGTATCTGTTAGGTGTGATCTCAGACCACCTGCCTGGCTGGGGCCTCGGGTGGAGGAGCACTTGTTTTCCTTAACCTCAGTGTGAGATGTAAACTAGAAGTGAACCACTCAGCCATGATAGAGTAACAGCAGTTATGCTCATTCTCAGAAGCAAATTTTTTTTTGCTTGGAGAATTTTAGAATCATAGAATAGTTTGGGTTGGAAGGGACCTTTAAAGGTCATCTTGTCCAACCTCCCTGCAGTGAGCAGGGACATCTTCAACTAGAGCTTGTTGCTTAGAGCCCCATCCAACCTCACTTTGAATGTTTCCAGGGATGGGGCATCTACCACCTTTCTAGGTAACCTGAGCCCGTGTTCCACTACCTCATTGTAAAAAATTTCTTCCTTACATCTAGTTGAAATTTACCTTCTTCTAGTTTAAAACTATATATCCCTATCACAACACACCCTGCTAAAAAGACTGTCCCCATCTTTCTTGCAGGCCCCCTTTAAGTATTGAAAGGCTGCATTAAGGTGTCCCCAGACCCTTCTCTTTTTCAGGCTGAACCCCAGCAACTCTCTGTCTTCTCTTTGTGATGTGCTGCCCGTGTAGAGCACCAGGTGCCTCCTGGAGATCAAGGAGCAATTTTCTTTTGGGTTGTAGTGTGGAACTAAAATTCTACCCAAGGCCATTTTGTTATCCCCTGATAATCTTGTTTGAAGCAGGTACTACAGGGCCCACCTACAAACAAAATAAATAAATTCCAGGAAAATAACATTTTCAATGAAGTATCTTTTAGCTCGGTTAGAAACACTTAATGTCACTCTTTC